GTGTATATAATGTATATTATATTTATTTATTTATATATTATATATTTATATATTTATTTATATATATATTTATTTATTTATTTATATTTATTTATTTATTTATTTATTTATATATTTATTAATTGTTGTTTGTTTATTTATTTTATTCGTGTTGACAATTTTACAAGACAGCAGCAAAACAGCAACACTTGCTGCAGCAGCAGTTGCTGCTGCTGCAGCGGCTGCTGCTGCTGCTGCTGTATGCATGCATGCAAGGGGACAATTAATTGGGGTGTATAGGCAGCTCGGTGTATATATTATATATATATATATAATCAAGCAAGGAAGCTGTTGCTGCACTTGCTGCTTCATCTGCTGCTCTACCTGCTGCTGCTGCAGTAGCAGATGCAACAGCAGCAACAGCAGCAACAGCAGCAGCAGCAGCAGCAGCTTTTGTTTGTTTTCTTTGTATTGCTGGGTAGCTGCAGCAGATGCGGTTGTCCTGTGGTGTACATACACTGCAAAACAAAGAGACAAACAGAAGTACAACTTTTCTGCTGCTGCTGCTGCTGCAGCAACAGCAGCAGCTAAAACGCCAGCAGCAACCCCTGCTGCTGCCGTTGCTGCTGCTGCTGCTGCTGCTGCAGCTTCCCTTTTGCTGCTCTCCGTGCTGCAGCCGCAGACAGAAGAGAGACACTTTGTTGCATGCAACACATTCTTTATTTCCCTTAATTAGGTAAATTCGTCTACTACTTGCTGCTGCTACAGCTGCTGCTGCTTCTGCTGCTGCTGCTGCTGCTGCTGCTGCTGCTGTATATTCGCTGTAGTGTACTAGCTAAGAAATAATTTAATTATTTGTTTATTTATAATTAATAAATAAATAAATAGTAATTAATTATTTTATACATAAAAATATGATAAAGGAGACCCCCCTAGGGTTGCTGCTGCTGCTTCTGCTGCTGCTGCTGCTGCTGCTGCTGCTGCAGTGAGGTGCTGCAGCTGTTGTTTTGAGGTTGATTGGATGCCAACGACCTTGCTGCTGCAGTTAGCATCTGCTGCTGCCGCTGCTGCGCTGCTGCTGCTGTGCTGCTGCTGCTGCTGCTGTGCTGCTACAGATAAACATACTTTAGGGGTAAACCCTCAACTGGTAATAATTAGGGTTTAGCAATGTGTGGTATAACGCATGCAGCCCCAAAGTGTCTACCCATAATTAGGGTTTAGGGTTTAGGGTTTAGTGTTAGGGGTTTTCTTGTCTGAAGGAATAAGGGAAGAT